CCCTTCAGATCACACTGTGCCCTACACACTCTGCCCACACAGACCACCCCACCCGCGGGAAGACGGAGCCAGTGGGGAAGAGCCTGAACTCTGGGATGTGGCCTCAGCTCCTTTACAAACGGCCTGTGCAACCTTGGGCAAGTCCCAACCTCTCAACACTCCAGTTTCTCCTCTTCAGTGGCCTGGGGATACTATGCATATTTACCTCGTAGGATTTTGTGAGGATTAATGAGATAAGATATAGAACATGCTTAGCTCAGCTCTGGCCACACAGGAAGAATAGGTGTTGGCTCTTGTTGGAATTATGGTACCACCTTGGGCTTTGACCACAAGGGCCGGCTTCAAAGGACAGTGACTGACAGCAGAACAATAGAAATGCATTGAGAACAATGGTTCCAATGGGCAGCCCCTTCCTCACCCTTTACCCTTCTATAACTCTGGCCTTCCTCAGGGAGACTCCGGCGGGCCGCTGAACTGTCAGGCAGCTGATGGCCGGTGGGAGGTGCATGGCATTGTCAGCTTTGGGTCTGGCCTCGGCTGCAACTACTGCCACAAGCCCTCCGTCTTCACACGGGTCTCCAATTACATTGACTGGATCAATTCGGTAAGAACCGGACCAGCCCAAAGCCCCAGGGCACTTACCTGCCCACCTGGCCTCGGGAGTGCCATGCCCACCTGGTGACTGAGAACCCCCTCCTTCCTCTTGAGAGCTAGATGGGAACCCCTTGGAGGAGGCTGCAGACCTTGGCAACTGCTGGGCCCCCATAGGTCCCCAAAATTTCTGTGTGGGTAAAGCTGAGTGAAAAGGAACATAGAGGGTGGCCTTGTCCAAAGAGGTTGGACACTCATCAGACATATTAAGAGTGAGTTCCGCCAGACGCGGTGGCTCATGCCTGTAATCCCAGTATTTTGGGAGGCCAAGGCAGGCAGATTGCGAAGTCAGAAGTTCAAGACCAGCCTGACCAACACGGCAAAACCCCATCTCTACTAAAAAAATACAAAAAAGTTAGCCAGGCGTGGTAGTGCACTCCTGTAAACCTACCTACTCAGGCGGCTGAGGCAGGAGACTCCCTTGAACCTGGGAGATGGAGGTTGCAGTGAGCCGAGATTGCACCATTGCACTCCAACCTGGACAAGAAGAGTGAAA